AAGTTCAAGCAGTCACGTAACCCCCCCCCCCCCTCCCCCACATTGGCGTAGTCGAGTGGTGTTACCTGCTAACAATGCCCCCATACTGTCACCGTACTCCTATTTGGTTTGAACTTTCCTTTTTGTATCCTCGTGAACAGGAGTTATGAATTTCCGCTCAAACATCTATTTCGCGCAAGCCCCTGTGATCACAATCCGGTCCTGCCACCCACCATAAGTATTTCCATCGTGCTGCCTGTAATCTGGACGCTCTAGGTCCACAGTAATAGGAGTTATGATATCTCGCTCAAACCGTTACTTCGCACAAACCCCGCTCACTCTGGGCGAAGTCTTGTCCTAACACATATCTTCAGTGCTCCACCCCACCGGCTGTATACCTAGCAAATTCGGATGCCCCAAGTCCGATTTGCCCGTTTTCACACACGCTCCACCCTTTTTGAGCGAAGTCTATACCTGCCACCTATCATCAGTGTTCCCACTATTTCATCTGTACTCCTACAAAGTCCAAACCCTTCAGGTCCACGGGAACACGAGGAGGGAGTTCCCGCCCAATCATTCATTCCGCCCCTTTCGAGCAGATTTTGGTCCCGTTTCCCACCACAAGTATTAACATCCTGACGCCTGTACTCCAGGCAAATTTGAATGCTGTAGTTCCAGCGGGACAGCACTATGAATTTTCGGTTTGGCAAACACACACACCAACAGACACGCTTAGCAGATTATATAAATAGGATAAGTTGCATGAACGGATGGATGGAGCTGTTACCTCTTCTGCGACTCCTTCTAATTTTCTTAATTCCATCCCGATTAATGAGGATGAGGATTAGGATTTTATTACCCCTAAATCGTCACTCTTAATCAACATCGCCTCGCCTAGGTACGAAGCTACTCTAATTGGGCCGATAGCTGATTTGAATAAAGGGAAACGTCCTTTCCGCGCGCCCGTCGAAACTAGGTCACTCCGTCCACTTCGGCATCGCGCAGCCCACTGCTATTTCGAGATACATGGTCTGGACGAGTTTTTCTACGCAAAAATCGCGCAGTCTCACGGTAGTGACGATGTAGCAAAGTTTTCCTCATAAGAGGTGGAGGTTCGACAGCCCTCGACAATCATGTGACATGTTCTCCTGTTAGACTTTACCTTAGCGGGAACTCAGAAAAGCGCGACCCCTTTTCATCCCCACCATTCAGGCCTACCTCCCCAGGGTGGGCTATGAATCTACCCCTAGAATTGAGTTGTGGCTCCGATGGTCATTCTTACCGCTACTCCGGTTAACATCATCATTCGTTTCCTCTGAGCGCTAATCTCTTTACCGATCTCTGCTGCCGAATTCTTCAAGAATTGCTCTTCCTTAATTCTACTGATGCGATCAGCTGCGAATTTATTTATATTGCTGTGGTGTTGCCGTGAAGCCGTTGAGTTGGTGAATAATCAGGCTCTCCTTTCTGAGTTATGATACAAGTTATCGTAAGCATGTTGCATCATGACCCAGGTGTTTAAGAAGGAAATCAGAATTGTTTTCTGTCAGCAACTAATGAGCACTTTTTCGACTGATTTATGTATTACACCATGCCCTACTACGTATTATTCTTTCTACATCTGGATATCCCTAACGTGGTAGGTGAGGGCGACCTGACGCTATGCTATCCTGTTGTCTTTATTTATTTTATTTTTCAGTTTTATTCTTGGCATCCGAACTCTATGCTGAATGGAATGCCGTCGAGTGTAACATTTGTAATCGTGTACCTTCTAGTCATTTGCCCTTCATTTTTAAGACAATCCCTGTCTTAAAGAGGGGTTGCGAACTTTTGCACGGAAGAGTCACTTATCGCTAGGTGCGAAAACTAAGTGCTCATTATGCAGTTCAAATCTTTCATAAGCAAGCGAAAGGAGAGTAATTGAGAATGTATTATGATAGCGACAGTAAAAATAAAAGTCCAGCGTCTAGAGAAGAAGCATGTTGTTGAACATGATGTATGTACGGGTGGTTCACTGGTTATTTATAGGGGCTCCGGTGATAACGGAGTAAATATAACACAATAATATAGTAAGTG